GTCTACTGAGCAGATGTGTCTAGGAGTGTTGTTTAGTAACGATGCAATCATATGTTTCCATCTGATTGATTTCTTCATGCTATACTAGTATAGGAGTGTTGTTCATGAATAAGTCAGTATGCATGAGACAGCTATAAAACATGGACAAAGATAACTTGTATGATGGTAACGATGGCACTCAAGATTGTATCATCTTGGAAGCTAGTTTTCCTGCACAAACCCAAATGACATCTGGAAGTCTCTGCATATAAGTGAGTTAGAGTGGAGGTGGACCCTTGCTCCATGGGTGCAAGAGACGGCAAAGTTATTTGGGGTAGTATTTTTGCTCTGAACATATGCATCACAAAACATTTCACTTTGTAATTCCTGGAAAGCATATGGATGTACAGAACTTACCAAGCTAATGCGTTTTATTGTTGGGTTGTTCAATACAATGAAGTAATATTCACCTTCCAATTGGTCTGTATGCCACTTCTGTGCTCTCTGATGTGGCATGTGCTTTTCAAAATAATGCACATATTCATGTACATCAGAACGTGCCTGTAACTATTCTATGTTGGTTTGGTACCATATCTATGAAGTTTACTGTTTCTGGGTAGTTGTACTGCTTTAGTGAAAAGGTATTATTGTGCAGGATCCAAATGCTCCAAAGCCAAGGCACTTACCTTTGTTCAAGAGTGCTTTGCAGCGTGAATATGTAAGTCAAAGTCTTTCAAGTGGCGTCTATTTTTTCCTCATAATTTTATGTTTTCACTTGAAAAAATCCCTTCTTTGGTTCCCTTTGTGCATCTCTTTCAGGCAACTGGAAAGCAATCTGATCTTTGGGTTCCTTTGGCTGATCAAGGATGGAGACCATGTGTTGAATCTGCAAAAGCCCCTTGTAAGTTTGAAGAAATCAGGCTACCATATAAGTTGGACTTTTGTAATTACTTAATATTCTGATAGGAACCCACTCCAATAACTCAACAATTTGGGCTAGGCCATGGGTCTTTCATGGGCTTGGGTAGAACTCTCCTTGGAAAACCGGCTTGCCAAGGGAGGATGCCCAAGCCTTTATAACCCACATGCCCACCCTTTTTCCCTTTCAATGTGGGATCCTAACATTCCACCACGCTTCCGCAACCGACGTCCACGTCGGCCTCTTTACCCCTTGGGTGACTACGCGGATTCCCTTTCCCTCGGGCCTCCATGCCCTTTCTCGGGGTAGTAGCTCGGGCCCAAGGTCAGCCTACCACGCGTGCGTTGCCATATAGGCGCAGGATCATGCTCTGATACCAATTGATAGGAACCCACTCCAATAATTCAACAATTTGGGCTGGGCCATGGGTCTTTCATGGGCTTGGGTAGAACTCTCCTTGGAAAACTGGCTTGTCAAGGGAGGGTGCCCAAGCCTTTATAACTCACACGCCCACCCTTTTTCCTTTCAATATGGGATCCTAACATATTCCAATTGAGTAATAAAACTAAAAGTTGTAATACAAATTTTTTTGCTTCATTAATTTTTTTCATTATTCTTGTTCGTGATTCTAATTGGTCTTGGATGGACACATCATTATTTGAAGCAGCATTACATCAGAAATCTCAGGGATACATTCAAATATTTCTCGATGGAGGGTTAAACCAGCAGAGAATGGGGGTAGGTATTTGGAGATTATAATTTATGTCTTTCCTTGATACCTTGAGATGCCAAGGGTGCTGATGAATAAAAATCTTGTATACTTGTTGAATTAATCTTGCAGTCACTTATTTGCTGTACAAAAACTTAAATAGTCACTCAAATGTTAAGTCTTTTTTTTTTTTTTTTTTTTTTAAAATGAATAGTGGCTTAAGTTATCTCCTTCTCTTAGATATGTGATGCGGTTGCTGTTGCTAAAATACTGAATGCAACCCTTGTGATCCCACATCTTGAAGTAAATCCTGTTTGGCAGGACTCAAGGTAACTCTTGTGGAAGTAACCTCTTCTTTCCTCTTTTTTTTTTTTTTTTTTTTTTTTTAATTAATTGTACATGATTTTCCTTAGTTCATTTGGGGAAGACATCTCTCTGACGTTGCTTACTTTCACCTGCAGTTCCTTCATGGATATATTTGATGTGGACCATTTTATTAATGTATTAAAAGATGATATTTCTATTGTAAAAGAGCTTCCTGATGAATATTTTTGGAGCACAAGGGAGTATTATGCCACAGCTATTCGAGCTACAAGAATCAAGACAGCTCCTGTTCATGCTTCGGCTAACTGGTATCTAGAGAATGTCTTGCCTGTACTACAGAGGTTAGTAGTTACCAGAACTACTTGTTTTGGATGTGGAGTTGCATTGTTAGCAATTTTTAGGCCAATTATTTTATTAGTGTTATCAAGTCCAGTTTCTTTTTTGTGTTTTTGTTGAAAGTTTTTTGTTTTCAAGATAAGTTCTATATATTTTTGTTTTAAAAGTTCTCATTCTCAGAAAAATTTAGTTAAATTCAATATATTCCTGTATGCTGGTTTTTAGTGCGGGGTAGCCCAGTTATTTTCTGGGATATCCAAAGACCCAGGATAATTGTGAAGTTTTAGTGTGTTATCTTGGTCATTTATGAGATCTTTAACATTTTGCATGTTCCAGTTACGGGATTGCTGCGATTTCTCCATTCTCTCACCGTCTAACATTTGACAACTTGCCAATGGACATCCAACGGCTACGCTGTAAAGCAAATTTTCAAGCATTGATTTTTGTTCCTCATATTAGAGAACTTGGTGATGCCCTTGTCAGCCGCTTAAGGTATCCTTCAAGCAAAAATAGAGTACTTGGCAATGGCCATTTGATGGATTATATTGATGCATATAACAAACAAGAGCCATGGAAATTTGTTGTGCTACACCTCCGGTTTGATAAGGTATAATTTAATTCTATTACAGATTTAGACTTACTGGTAAATGGGTGGGGTGAGCTGAAGTTGGGTGGTTTTACATTCTAGTTTGTAAGCTTATCTTGTATGGTAACAAAAATGGGACCAGATTCTTTCAAAGATTCTGCTTTGCTTATTATTTTTACCTTCATATTATGCTTTGCATTCTATTCATAAATCTTGGGGCTGAAAACGTAGAGGATATAAGTTTTTGACACCAGTTGTAAAGTTAATGTGCTGACATCAGTAAATTTTATCTTTCCTAACAATAGCCTGCTTTCCTGTTGACATAACCATGGTAATGATTCTGGATTTAACACTTTATATAATTGTACAACAGGTGATTCACCCATCTTGTTTGAATAGTTTAATTGTAAGATTTTTCTGTCCATGAGTTCTTTCATTTACCTTGTGAATATGCAGGACATGGCAGCTCATTCAGCCTGTGATTTTGGTGGGGGCAAAGCTGAAAAGTTGGCTCTGGCCAAGTACCGGCAAATTATTTGGCAAGGAAGAGTTCTTAACTCCCAGTTCACTGATGAAGAGTTGAGGAGTCAGGGGCGTTGCCCATTGACTCCAGAGGAAATTGGGTTACTGCTAGCAGCATTGGGTTTTGACAACAGTACTCGTCTTTATCTTGCCTCCCACAAGGTCTGTTATCCATGTAACTTGAGCTTGGCCATGTTACTCTCCATTCTCTTCATGTTTAAAAAAGTGAAATTTATGTTTCTATTTTAATATTTTTTATTTGTTAATGTTGCTGCTTTCAGGTATATGGTGGGGAAGCTAGGATTTCAGCTTTACGAAGATTGTTTCCACTTATGGAAGATAAAAAGAGCCTGGCATCTTCTGAGGAACGGGCAAGGATTAAAGGAAAGGCTTCTTTGTTAGCTGCACTTGATTATTATGTTAGCATGCACAGCGACATCTTCATCTCTGCTTCTCCAGGAAATATGCATAATGCATTGGTGAGTTTTACTTTTGTTTTCTGGTATATGCATCACTAAACTAACGTAAGGTTCAATTTGTGAGAAGAGCTATGCTTTGCACTTTGCCTTCCAATGTTATTTAAAACTGCCGAAGGTTTTGCCCATCCAAATCCAGTAAGGTTGAACTCTTAATGCAGAGACTATGTTGTAGTAGTTAAATTGTGATGAATAGCAATTGGGAAGTGGCTATACTTGAAATGGTGCATTTAAAGCTTTTAATACTCATTACCCTTGTTTCAAATAAAGTTTGCGATTGTTTCACCACGGACTGGCATGGGTTGTGTGAACTAGGATTTTAAACTTTGTCATATATGCTTAGCTTTATGTTATACTTATACCTATCTCATCTAAAAACTGTTCAGTTTTTGAACAATTAGAGAGCTTGAAAAGCGCATATGCAGTAGTTTGCATTAAGAATCCTAAGAAGATGAAAATTTTGTGATGTTGACAGGTGGGACATCGTACGTATGAGAACTCGAAGACTATACGGCCTAACATGGCATTGTTGGGTCCACTCTTCCTGAACAAAAGCATGAGTTGGTCAGACTTTCAGCAGGCAGTGGTTGAAGGACATGAAAATAGGCAAGGGCAGATCAGATTAAGAAAAATTAAGCAGTCCATTTACACATATCCTGCTCCTGACTGCATGTGCCATGTCTAAGATGCTCAAGGAATGTGTCACCTTCACGTCAATTTTTTTGTGATTAGTATCAATATTTATAATAAGTAACAACACCATTGTCCTGTTTAATTGAACAATCCATGTAATGTTTTTGGGTTATTACACGCAGTGTATTGGAGGTGGAAGCAATGTAGGATTGGCTTGTATTTGTCAAATATTCTGAATCTGATATATTATTGGACTGCATTTTCAGATCACAATAGAGGTAGTTATGTATCAGTCAGTACTACCAACTGTTTTTGTTTTTTATTCTTTGCGGTTCGTTTAGTCTACAAATTAGTCTTTCTTGCACAAATTTACTACGAATATTTATCTATGCCTTGGCCAAGAGATGTTTAACACTATATATAAGGGAAAAAATATACTAAGCTGAGTTCGTGGAAGACGTGATACTGCGAGCTAAACTTACCTATGAAAGTTTATGCAATTCTATCATTCATTGAACCATAAGCTCACCAATTTCACAACCAGTACATTGTGAAGTGGTTTAGACATTAGTAGAGACTAATAATGAAGAATATACCGAGATCATTTACAGTGTATGACAGCTTGAGAAGAAAAAACACAGCTTCAGCAAGTAAAATATCTGCAACTACTCTTAACTGATCCCACCAACACCGGATGTTGCACTGGGACTGGATGGAGTTTGACCATCTTTCCTTTCCTTCTCATTAGTTGAAGATCCGTTTCCATTCCAGCACGCACCAGCCATTTCCTTCATCTCTGTTGTTTGGGGAGAAACCATATCTTCCTCTATCGGAAGGGTTCTTTTGGAGCCCTCCAATGCAACACCAAGAACTATATTTTCTTCCAAAGTAGGCCTTGATGTAGGTTGTTGTGTGACCTGCAACTTATCACCTTCCTGCTTTGACTCTTGTAATCCACCTCCTTTGTCTGCACTGGTCTCTGATGAGGAAACCGAAGGATTTTCTGTCTTGCCATTCTGTATTACATTCCCAGGATTTCCAATTTTAGGTTGCTTGCTTTCAGATATCTTTTTGTCTTTGGTTGAATTATCAGACACTGAGCCAGGAACTTTGGATCCAGAACTTGACATTTCTGCTACCTTAGAGTTTGTCTTGGGTACAGATTTTGACGTTGATTTGATTACTTTATCACCAACCTTGGGATCAGGGTTGGATGCTGCCGCAGCCGCACCATTTTGGTCCTCCCTAGTGTCAGGATTTGGTGTTTCAGCAATCTTCGCATCTGCCTTGGAGTCAGATTTCGGAGCACCTCCAACCTTAGAATCTGTTCTGATGTCAGGTGTTGGCAGCAGGGTCTTACCATCTTGCCCTCCACTTGAGCGTGGTGGACGAGTTTGAGATTTTGTTTTATCTTCTCCATTAATTTTGTACGACGGCTCAATTAGCAGCAAAGGACGATTAGATGCCACACCACCACGGTTGTAGATGGAATCTGCAAATGGGATATTTTCCAAATCAGCATCACTAAATATTTTCTGCACTGTGCGGATTGGTGTAGCAAGTCGGGCTCTGTGATGGCTGATAACTCTAAGGAGATCCAACAGTATAGCTTCCTGTTTCATTAAACACAGAAACTTAATAACGAGCTTATTCAGGAACTATCAAACTAAAATGTAATGCACAGCATCAGACAAATAAGGAACAATCAGTTAAATGGATTTAAGCTCTTTTGGTGGCCAAAAGATGAAGAGAAATGAAGTTGGAAATATCATAACACCATCAAAGCAAAGGTAGAAACAAGGAAAGAAAAAAAAAAGTATCTTGAGCAACACTGCTTATGAAAATCATGGACAATTTCTATATGAAGGTATCCTCGAATGCCCTCATTAACACTGCATGTGAAAATTATTGTCAATTTCTATATGAAGGTATGCTTGAATGCCCTCATAAGCCAACATAAAATCTCATAATCAATCTAAATGAAATTTCAAATCTTATAATCTGCTGCCCTATCTCTTTTGTATGAAATGGATCTGTGACAAAAAAATGTCTCACATACAGATCTTAACAGAGGGGTCTCATACAAACAAGTGTAGATACTTAAATAAGATAAGATACCAGACACATAATGAATACCCTGGATCTGAAGCTTAGAAAAATTAATGACTAGCATATTTGAATTGGTATCTCATGGAGGAAAAAAAAAGAAAACCATGATGATCCACCAGATGTATCTCTTGTTTAAACTCAGCAAATGAGGATTGAATTTCAGCCATCCAGATGATTGAGATAGGAAATTCTTTTGCAATAAATCCATACATTATGAGTCTCCAAATGCAGATGAAACTGATCAGTAACAAGTATATTTAATCTTTTAGAACAGCATGCAAAATCTAAATGTGTACGTTGACATCCCTCACGCATCACATACTTCTAATTCAACATTTATCACCTGTGGGAACACCAAAATTGCAATTGAAACACCTCTCCCTACCAAGCACCCAATAAGTTTAAATTTTAAAAAATAAAAACAATAACCAGATTAAATTTCTCACTTTTCACATTGATGGGATTTTTTCACTACTACAAGCCACAATTTACTTAGCAAGAAAAAACAATCAATGCCATGAAACTTATGGAAACAATTGCATATTTTAGTTTTCATCTTGCAGATTGTTGCAGCATGTTGCATTGCCACAGTCATTACTGTATGATGTATCCAGACGAACTGTAATCAGCAGGCATTTGTCATCAAAGGTAGAACTACGAGAGAGAGAGAGATATCCTACCTTGACACAAAGATACTCTTCGTAATGTGAGGTCTTCACAAAACAAGACACCAAGATCTGTCAAAACCCAACAACAAATTCAAACATATATAAAGCTAATATTAAAAAAATGAATACATAAGGCTGCACTGCATAGAACGCATTGACATTGTCCCATAAAGCTCAATTGGTTGATCTTTTAAGCATCATGTTACTAGTTATGTATTAATTATACATTTCAATGTATCTCAAGTGTCAGCTTTCTTAGTCTTTCATTGAATTAATTAATTATAAATTGTTGTCTCACTGTTCCCCAGAACTAACAGTTTCTTAAACTATTTTCATTCCATTAATGTGATGGAGAATTTCAAGTAAGCATGTTAGCGAGGCAAGCTGGTCGTAGATATGTCCAATCTGTGCTGCTAAGAAAATGTATTGCTCAGGCACATATATTGACTGTCAGTTATGATACTTTAATTGGATTTAATTAGATTTAGAATTCTACACTGCACAATTATTAGTAGCTAAATTTTAGTTTCCAGGGATTGCAGAGGCAAGATGGTCGCACAGACATATGTAAAAAATTATCAACTATTGGTCCTGCCAGAGCATATTTTTGTAATGTAATGTGGTACTCCGAAATTGTCTGCTCTTCTAATGTGTTAAAGAGGAAAAAACAAAAGGCACTGAAAATAAGCTCTTTGAAAATCCAAATGTTTAACAGATCCGAAATGGAAATTGTTATCAGACAATACTATTAAAGTTTAAAAAAAAGAAAAGAAATTGAAATTTTATAACGTTATTTGGATTATCAGAATAATACTATAAATAATAGCATTATAGCTACTGCTGCTATCAATTGAGAAACAGAGTTATAAAAATTAGTATATTAAAAAATTTTAGTTGCAAGCTTACTTAGAATATAAATCAGTTTATATAAACTGAAAAAATTTTTACAAGATGTGCAGACTCTTTTACTCCCCAATAATTGCTTCTCATAATGCAAACAAGCAAATATGTAATAATGTCAAAAAGACATCAAGAAATTATGGTAAGAAGATTTAGGCATATAACACTAACCAGAAGAGCTTGATTTTCAGAATTTATACAGTCCAGAAATACTCTTCTATGCAACCTCTGCTGCTCAACTTGAGGATTCTTGGCCAAGACTTTGCGCATGTCGGCAACAATATTCTGTACAGAAAAAAGCCGTCAGATGGTTATTAGACGAAATATACAGGCACAATCGGCTCAAAAGGCAACTGCCAACTATTATGAGTAAGGCAAAGCTAGATAACTCCTTACATTAATTTTATGAACATCAAAGTGGCTAATGGCTAGGTGAGTTTTAATACGCCAATGACTTTTCTGAGTAAGATTTCTCACAACATTTACAGTGAACTTGTGATTTGGGATATGAACAGCTTCACGATCTTCACCCCTTATAATTGTTGGTGACCACCAACCCACATGCTGCAGATAGTTAAAATTAGCAAGAAAACATGCGACTAAATATACTGGTAATTTTCGCAAACAAGTTTAATTGCTATATTAATACCAAGCCATAGTTCTAGAGATATAAACACATACACCATTTTAATTAACAATTAGACCAAATTGTAACACTATCTAGGTTTAGTCAACTGGAGAAAAACTTTTTCAGAGGAGTGGATGCATTCTTAAATACAAACCTCGACAGTACCAGACACCTCATAGCCTTCAATCTTTGTTTGTATCCATTCGTTCACAACAAAAGGTCGAGTTGCATGAATCATAGCACTTGAGAGAAAATTTGTGAATATCTGAAACAGTGAACAACTTTCAAGTTTTGAGAGGGTCCAGAACAGCTACAGGTTGAAATAAATTACATTTAAAAGGATACTACCTCACGACCAGCAAGAGTCAGCAATACAGTCCCGAGACCTCCAGCCGTAAGCCACTTTTGGGTAGAGAAGCCGAGCAACTCCATGAACAATGAAATAGAAGCAACCCATACTGCAGAGTACACAGCTTTCCCTGCAAACTGGAAACCCATCTGCCAAAAAGAAGGAAAAAAAAAAATGTCATAAAGTTAGAAAATTCAGTTCAGAAGATTATGTGGGATTTCAGGTTATCTAATTAGAAAAACTAATATTGAAAATGAAAGATAATCTTTCTCTTTTGTAAATTGATGAACCAGAAGAGAGAATACATATGACTGCAAAAAAATCCAACTGCTGTGTAAAGCTATAGCAAATGAAACTTTAGGTGCTCTTCTGTTTTGTACAATCACGAAAACTAATTTGTTAGAACAATGTCAGTTTGCCTTTACAATAATGCACCCTATACAGCCATACCTAGCTTGTCATGACAATTACCCACTCCAAAATGCTAATATTTCTTAAAACTCTCACACATGAGATATGAAATACAACAATATTTGTATACATATAGGATGTCCGCTAGAGACAGAAATTTAGTAGAGGCATAATGGTCAAGGATCCAAGGACAAGGAAATCAAATGGCGTTGGTAGTCCAGTAAAGGCTCTTAGCAAAAGAAAGTATCAACAAAATACTGATAAACATCTAAGGAAGGTAATAAAAGTGAGTTTAATTATGTAAGAAGCCTTGACACATACACTTCTTGTATCACTGGACTCACTAGTCTCCATGAAGAATTTCTGTGCCTGCTGAATCACACTGAAAAAAAAAAAAAAAAAGAGAGAGAGAGAGAAAAGAAAAATAAAAGTCATGGTTAGTGCTCTCGTAAGCAATAACAAATAGGCACCACAACATCAAAAAGGGTATTCCACATTCAAGCCCAACTATAATATAAAATGATAAAATGTTTCTTAAATTAAACAATATTGTTGGTACCTTACCAATAAACTTAAGCGTTTGGGTTTGTGGCAACTTAATGTGATATCAAAATTAAGGTGACAAGTGGTTTAGAGCTCAAATCTCTCATTTCACGAATTGAATTATAATAAGTTATGTTTGTAGTTTGGAGATTGGTCTTGTTCAATCAATGTGTCATACACATGATGGGCATGCTAGAGCATAAAAACTAATGTTAACAATGATATAAATTCAAAGTTTTGGATTAATGGTAAATTAACAATTTCTTATGGGGTTGTTTGAATCATATAATGCTTTATTATAGGGGGTATTATATTAACGGAAAGATAGATCACTTTGAAGATTACTAGGAATGTTTAAAAAATGTGTTTGGTTGGTTCAAATAAATTGGTGAATAATATGTTTGGTTGGGAGGATAAATGGGTGAGTATGTTATATAAATTACCAAATTACCCTCCTTTTTAAATATTAATATAATAGTATATTTTATTATTATTTTTTGAATCATTTCTTTTAACCCCTTACAATTGAAATTTTGCTAAAACACCCCAACCATATAAAACTTTAATTTGTAGCAAAATCACCCCCACCCACCCCGGCAACCAGCCTCCACTACCGGCCGCTGCTAGCGGTTAACAGAATGGCGCACGACTGGTCGTATATGGCTTGTCGTGCGCCGGAAAACGGCCAGATCTATGGCCATTTCACGGCCATAGAACGCCAGATCTGGCCATTTTCGGCCATGAATCTATGATCCATGGCCAGAAAAGGCCTTACTGGCGCACGACCGACCAGATCCCATTGTTCGTGCACCATTATGGTGACTGACGCTGGCGATCGACGGTAGTGAATAACGGCCAACGGTGGTGAGTAACGGCCGGCGGTGGTCTTGGGTGGTTGAGGATATTTAGTTAACTTTTAAACTTTTTTGTGGCTGGGGTGTTTTAGCTAATTTCTCAAATGTAGGGGGCTGGGTAATTGTTATTTGGTAGACATTTGAGAGCAATTATGTCCGAAATGACATTTAATTACGGGCAAAATAGATTAAAAAATAAGATTACTCGGTAATGTTTTAATCCCAAGCGGGGGTGGGGGAGGGTATCAAATTACCCCCAACATTACCAACAGTAAACACTATTTGCAATAAAAGATTCCCGTAATATTTTATTACTTGCAAACCAAACACCAGAATCTTGCAAAATAAACGAAGATTACTCTCGTTATCTTATATGCCACCGATCCAAAAGCAGCCTAATTGGCTAATGAGTTATCAGTCTTATAAATCAGATAAAATTATTAAGAGTGCCAGAAATTATAACAATCAAAAGCAGAAGAAAATTGTCCTATATAAGAAATGGAATATGCTATATGCTAAAGCCAAAGAGGACACCTGAACCACAGAAGCAACCCAACAGTTTTAGTTTGTCATACCAGACTAAGACTGGGTCTGATAAAACCATTAAAAAAAAACAGCACAGCATAGATAACCTGCTCACCTCGATAAACAGTAGGCAAAGGCTAGCACAGTTGACAATGATCTTATAAAGTTCAAAAGTCGTAGCTTAACAACCTGACTCGCTTCTGTAGGTAAAACTACTGGATCCAGTGTTCTGCAAGATACACACCTCTCATTGGTATCCTAATTGAACTGGAAACTTGTTTTCCTCATAGCAAGAATAATAGGTATCATTGTTACTCAACAATGAAACAACAGTAAAACCTGCAAATGAGTAGTGCTCCAGACCATAGCAATAACGGCTGAATATAAGACGTCATGACATAGTGTGTTCTACTCTTTTTCCAATTATTATCATTCTTCTGCAAAATATTGCACACATTGCACCAACCCAATTCAGAACAGAGCACATATAAANTGGGCATGTTAGAGCATAAAAACTAGTGTTAACAATGATATAAATTCAAAGTTTTGGATTAATGGTAACTTAACAATTTCTTGAGGGGACATTTGAATCATATAATGTTTTATTATAGGGGGGCATTATATTAACGGAAAGATAAATCACCTTGAAGATTGTTAGGAATGTTTAGAAAATGTGTTTGGTTGGTTTGAATAAATTGGTAAATAATATGTTTTGGTTGGGAGGATAAATGGGTGGGTATGTTATATAAATTACCAAATTGCCCTCCTTTTTAAATATTAATATAATAAGATATTTTATTATTATTTTTTGAATCATTTCTTTTAACCCCCTACATTTGAAATTTTGCTAAAACACTCCAACCATATAAAACTTTAATTTGTAGCAAAATCACCTTCACCCACCCCAGCAACCAGCCGCCACTACCGGCCGCGGCCAGCAATCAACAGAATGGCACACAACTGGTTGTATATGGTCGGCCGTGCGCCGAAAAACGGCCAAATCTATGGCCATTTCACAGCCACAAAAACTCCAGATCTGGTCATTTTCGGCCATGAATTTGTGATCCATGGCCAAAAAAGGCCTTACCAGCGCACGACCGACCAGATCCCATCGGTTGTGCACCATTACGGTGACTGACGCTGGCGGTCAACGGTAGTGAATAACGGCCAACAGTAGTGAGTAACGGTCGGTGGTGGTCTTGGGTGGCTGGGGATATTTTGTTAACTTTTAAACTTTTTTATGGCTGGGGTGTTTTAGCTAATTTCTCAAATGTAGGAGGGCTGGGTAATTGTTATTTGGTAGGCATTTGAGGGCAATTGTGTCCGAAATGACATTTAATTAAGGGCAAAATAGATTAAAAAATAAGATTACTTGGTAATGTTTTAATCCCAAGCGGGGGTGGGGGAGGGTATCGAATTACTCCCAACATTATCAACAGTAAACACTATTTGCAATAAAAGATTCTCGTAATATTTTATTACTTACAAACCAAACACTGGAATCTTGCAAAATAAACGAAGATTACTCCCGTTATCTTATATGCCCCCAATCCAAAAGCAGCCTAATTGGCTAATGAGTTATCAGTCTTATAAATCAGATAAAATTATTAAGAGTGCCAGAAATTATAACAATCAAAAGCAGAAGAAAATTGTCCTATATAAGAAATGGAATATGCTATATGCTTAAGCCAAAGAGGACACCTGAACCACAGAAGCAACCCAACAGTTTCAGTTTGTCATACCAGACTAAGACTGGGTCTGATAAAACCATTAAAAAAAAAACAGTACAGCATAGATAACCTGCTCACCTCGATAAACAGTAGGCAAAGGCTAGCACAGTTGACAATGATCTTATAAAGTTCAAAAGTCGTAGCTTAACAACCTGACTCGCTTCTGTAGGTAAAACTACTGGATCCAGTGTTCTGCAAGATACACACCTCTCATTGGTATCCTAATTGAACTGGAAACTTGTTTTCCTCACAGCAAGAATAATAGGTATCATTGTAACTCAACAATGAAACAACAGCAAAACCTGCAAATGAGTAGTGCTCCAGACCATAGCAATAACGGCTGAATATAAGACGTCATGACATAGTGTGTTCTACTCTTTTTCCAATTATTATCATTCTTCTGCAAAATATTGCACACATTGCACCAACCCAATTCAGAACAGAGCACATATAAAAGGATATAGTAAATAACAGAAGGTTGAAAATTAAAGAAATTGATCATACATGGAGGAGTATATTTCTGCTATGACGTACAAGTGGCCCAAGACCCCATACGGCAAAAGCAATAACACCAATCGCAGGAAGTAACTGAAGTACAAAAGGACTACCTTGTAGAACATTATATGACCTGCATGAAAAAAGGAATTGTTTCTCTTTACATCATTTAGAAGAACACAGTGCATAAAATAGAAGAACAGTGTCAACTGTTAATGCCTGAAGTTCTATACACTTCCAAAGAACATGTGAAACTGGATTTAGTACAAGAACATAAATTAGCAAGAACATTGCACTCTTTTAAAGACAAAAGATAAGAACACATTTAAACTCAATTCCATACTAAATATTTTTGTGGGTACTTATTTCCTCTTTCCTTCAAAAAACCTATCATTGCTGCAGATCACATCTAGCTGGAAGATTGAAACAACATATATCCACTGATAACCTGCTGGAAGACCCAGATGACTACAAGAAAAGAAATTATTTGCTGAACAAGTAGGGCGGCAAAATTATCGTGCATACATGTCTTTTACCACTAACAGCATCAAATTACATCTCTAAGGACTCTATCATACACTTCCATTCACATTAGAGCTATACCCAAAATTAAAAATGATATGTGTGTGTGTGCTTCAAAAATTAAATTCAATAAGGGAAAAGTCTCATCTGTGCAGAAGCGTTCACATAATAAGTATAATTATGTGAGTACATCAAAAGAAGTAATTTACTTTGTGATTGCCGTTGAAGCAGCTTTCACGTACTGACATGCTTGGCCTGGTAAAGAAGAAAAATGGCACCTAATACCACTACTTCTATCACATACAGAATGTATTGGCCGGTATGGACTGACAGAGAGATGAATTCTCCAGGGATCTTGTAGCCTAAACTGTAAAAGAAGAGATCATTTCCAAACTTTGTTAGAAAGTCAATAAAGTTTCCGTAACACTAGAAGAATCAATTAAAGATTATCAGTTGGCAGCCTTAAGAAGAGATACAAAGTAAATTCCAACAAAGATCTACATTCATGGCTGGTATAGACCAAGGGGAAAAGATTTCTGTTCCCAAAAAAAAAAAATTTGGGCAATGGAGTTTTTACTATATAAACATCGCCAGCATAATCTTGCAAATATAGCACAGCAGGGTATGATCCCAAAAAAGCACAACTCCAACAATGATCATTAAACTAAAAAACGGAATGGAAAAATTTACTCAAGGGCTAGAGCAAGTATTTGTAAATTATTGTAATTCACAATTAGTAGATACCACTATTGAACTAGATTAAGAATGATAGCATGGAAAAGCTAAGTTACAATATGGCATTTGTGTTTTTGATCGGAAACAAAAAAGATAGACATTGATGATAAAAAAGGAGTTACAGCAGTGGACCAAATGTCTACAATAGACTCTTAAGAAGACGGAAGCTGTACAATATATATGTGAATTATTCTATAAAAAAACCCCAAGGCAAATTAAGTGACAAAATAGCATTGAAGCACCTTTTTGGTAAACCATTTGTCATGCAATGTTAACATGCTACCATAATGCATGTGTAACTGAGGTCTCAACTAATTCTAGACAAACCACTAAATAAATTAAAAAAAAAAAAAAAAAGAAATTGATGCTACATATGTTGCCTTATTTTAAGGTGAAAATTTATATCCTATATTTAACAATCAATTTCTCAACGCTATCTATTCTAAATAAAAAGGCACAATTCTGCCACTTTGCAACAAGAAAACATACCGAAACACTTGATGTGGGAGTTGCAGTCAATAAATGTAGGTTGCCTCTTCCCATTACATTCTGAAAACAAATACATGACTTCAGTTATGCACAGCAGAATAAATTGGGGAATAGACATTCTACACAGAAAAAAAAAGTTCACCTACCTTGATTCGTTTTTTGTACCCCTGGTTCCTGCAAAGTCCCAAGTCATGGGACAATTGCAGGGAACCAGCAACCACCATTGTAGGGTTAATATGTATAAGCAAGGTGGTGCCACTACATTAACTACCAGTTAGCCCGAACAAACGGATTTAAGAAACCGCTGCAAAAAAATCAAAATTACATATTATCGCATCTAAAATAATCATCGTACCTAATTAATTCACATTGAAAAATAATCTCATCTTCATTAATTAATAGGTGTATAGAAAGTGATAGCTGTGTGTATAAACTAATTCATTAACAATAATCATCTGTTCTCAATAAAACTATTTCTACTCTAATTTACTGCATAAACAGACCAAAAATTAATATTACATCTTCTTATGGTAACGCTAGAAATGAAATACAATTTCCAAATTCTCATCATTTCAAATTCACAAATTAAATTAACTCCGTAGCTGTTATAATTTCAATTATGAAATTCAGCTGAGAAATATTAAAAGCAAGGCAAACAATACAGAAAATATAATCAGTTTGGAAATGAAATTTTCAAAAAAAAAAAAAAATAACTTGAATGATGAAGAAAAAATAAATAACTAATAGGATTGAAATATAATTAGAAAAATGAATGAAAATGCTGAAAGAATATGGAATTTGATAGAAACAAGAGGTACCTGGCTATGAGAAGCTTGACGAAGAAGCGGAGAATTTCAGGGTTCTAAAGATTCCCAGAAATTTCAGCAAATTGAATTTTTTTTTTTTTTTTAGTTTTAATCAGTTTTTGGTTTTAATTTATTTAAATTGTTTTTTCGTATGGAGGCGCTGATGGGGAGAGACCGAGAGAGTTAAGCTGGGCCGAGAAGTAACTACCAATTCTGTACGGTTGGTATAGACACCAGTTGCTACAGTGGCCAATAGTAACATACGAAGAATTTGGAAGCATTTGTATTTTGTAATATTCTAAAAACAATTACTGTATATCTAAAAAATTTAATGACATTAATGTCCTTAAATAAAAAAATTTCCACAAAGTTTTTTAAAATAACAAAAATTTATCGAAAGTTTATAAATATTAAAATAAACAACATGAAAGCAATTCACCAATATTTAAGAGTATATGTTCTAACAGTGACAGATAATTTTTTATTATTTTTGTTATTACATCAAACTTAAAAGCTTTAATTATTTCTCTCTATCTTGATTTTCAATATTGATCATTCAAGATTTATTATATTTTTAAATAATATATATGATATATTGAAATTTTATATATATTTATTATCACAACAATTTATATCAATTGAAAATTATTTTTTAAAAGCACTAAGTAATAAGAAATTTTAAACTTTTTATTGCAATTGCATTTTACTTAAATTTCTGACAATTTTTTATGAAGTTATAAATCTTAATTTAATTATAATTTTATGATCTATTGTCCATCTCCGAATTGATTTTGGCCCGGGTTGGCATTGATGTCCTCGGCCCAGCCTAATCCGAAATCCCCGAATTACCCCCACAGTACAACATTATAGGAGGTAACGTTACCAATACAGTACAATGAAGACTGCATTTTCAGAAAAATAATAAAATAAGAAGCCTCAAGGGAGCCCAGTAAACGAAACAAAGCCGCGTTAAAAGCATATCGTGAAGAGAGACGACTTAGCAGAGAGGGATGGAGAAGGAGGAGGAGGTGAAGAAGGAGGCGTCAGAGATAATCGGGCAATACGAAAAGCTGCCTGCTTTGGTTGTATTCGATCTCGATTACACTCTCTGGCCTTTCTATTGCGAGTGTTTTTACGAAGATGAAATGCCTTATCTCTATTCTCACGCTAAACCCATTTTACACGCTCTCAAGGAGAGAGGAATTGACGTGGCTGTCGCTTCCAGATCACCCACTCCTCATATTGCCAATACTTTTCTCAATAAATTGGGAATTCACTCCATGTTTGTAGCCAAGGTGATTTAACTAACAATTCTCACATTTTGATTTCTTCAATTTTAATTGTTTCAGTTTAGAAGTGACGTTTAATTCTTGATGGGATATTAATTAATTATGATGAATGTGAAGGATCAGTGGATTGCATGTATTTACTTGTTTAGCTTGTGTAGTTAATTTATAGAAAGTGATTTCAAAAAGCACTTTTTTCCAACATTTTGGGCTACAGTAGGTTTGTAACTCTATATACAAGCAGTTTTATGAAGTTTAGAATATTTTTCCTTTGACCTCTTCTGTAAGGAAGGTTTCTGTAAAGATGTGAAATAAATTGTGAAGAAGTTTTTGATGAATTGAATAGGGAGATTCTGATAAATTTCAAAAGTTAAAACAGAGATTGTTTAAAGAGAATGTACACTTAGCATGTTCTTGTGTTTAGGCCAAACTTTATGGTAGGTTAAAAAAATCATTTCCTTTGAATTTTGAAAACGTTTTAGAGTTGGGATGATTTGATTTCTAAGTTCTAATTGTTAAAGGTCTGATGTCTGATTTTTTATATGCACAATTACAATCAAATAATTGTTTTAATGTTGATCTGTGGTTTTTTTTTCCCTCATCCAAGTGATTGTTTTCTTGATTACCATACAGGAGATATTCTCCAGCTGGACTCACAAAACTGAGCATTTCCAGAGAATCCACCGAAGGACTGGTGTACCTTTTACTTCAATGCTCTTCTTTGATGATGAAGATAGGAACATCGAAGCGGTAATTTTGCTTCCTATCCTGCTCATTATTATAGTATCTTTTTATTTTTCCACTTTTGGCTGGTATAGTTACTAAAGAGTGTTATTGATGTCTTAAACTCCATGTAGTTGTAGAAAAAGTTCTGCTTCTCTTGTTGTTCTGAACATAAGTTTTGTGTGATTTGTCTAAATTTTGGAGTGGTATTTTCAGGTATCAAAAATGGGTGTAGCAAGTATTTTGGTTGAAAATGGAGTAAATCTCGATGCTTTGAGACAAGGATTATCTGAATTTAGTCTGAAGTCGGGTTCCTCCAGCAGAAGCAGGGAGGACTAAATCTTCGATCTTCATACAGAACTGTGGTGTGGAATGTTATATTCTTCTGCTTCATTGTAGCATTGTCATATATTTGTTGCTCTTCTGCACCATTCATACCATCAAATTGTATCAAAATACATACTCATATTGATTTCTGTGGCCTAATGGGCATTTTGAAATACTTCTCAATAATATTCTGTTGTTACCAAAACTTAACTTTTGTCAATACTTATTTGCTGAACTTTATTGATTTTAGCAATCTTTTATATTGCTGGCATGGGAAGAACCTGAATGTAACTTTACAATTTAGGCAAAATCATCTATCTTATCTCTTTGAAGTATTCAAAACGTCATATCTGAACCGTCACTCGGGTAAAGTCAAGCAACTCACCATCAAGATTTAAGGGTTTCCCTGTATTTATTTTAACAAGACTTTAGTTTTATTTTTATTCTCTTGCCTCAAGTAAGTTAGCTGTTAGTTCTTTGCCAGTATGAAAACAATTGTATTGAATGAATCTTCAAAGAATCTGGAGGAATATAACTAAAGCATATGGTGGAGTAAAATACAATTACAAGTTAGGAAATGTAAAATTGATCTCTAACAACTACAATCTAAGCATGTTTGTCCTCCCCAAAATAAATTTCTTGTCTTTTCAGTTCAAAAGCCTGAGAATTATTGCCATTTCACTACTGCTCCTTAACGAATGATACATTAATATGTACAAAGCATAAAAAATTCACAAGGGAAAGGTTGTCTTAAAAATGCATTTACATAATAATTATAATTATGTGATTACATCAAAAGAAGAAATTCATTAAGTAAATGCCATCGAAACAGTTTTGGAAATACTTATGCTTGGCCCGATAAAGGGGAAATTTACAAATACTGTAAGTTCAAGAATTTATTTGCCTGTATGAATACTCCAGGAATCTTTATGTGAACTGTAACATAATCGATATTTCCAGACTTTGTTAGCAAGTTATTGAAACATAGCACTAGAGAACTATCAGTAGGCAACCTTTAGAAGAGATACGAAGTAAATTCATGCACAAATACTACATTCAGAATCCTGCCCACAAAAGCATGTATTTTGATGGGGATCTGAGCAAGTAAATGAAAAATAGATCTGAATCCGTGGGTACATTAACTGTCACCTGTAGAAACAAGCTCGTACACACATGAGCTTTTCATATACAAACTGAAAACACAATCCAAGCTTTACAATGAAATGTTTCAAAGCACATCCCAGGAAGAAAAGCACATCCGAGGAAGAATTACCCTATCATACAAGCAATATAATAAGTTAGTTGAGTTGTCTAAATGGTGATCTTTCTTCCTGAGCAGCTTCAAATTTCTTCATTGTGGGAGAATGAAGAGTTTTCACATTCTCTTTCACAGAGTCGAATAATTCTCCATCACCTTTCAAGACCACACCAAACCTATTGCTATTGTTGTCAAAAGACTGCACTATGCTTCCCAAGATTCCCATCAGTTGCGTGTCTTCACCAGATAACTTACTGATACTGTCATCCAACCCTTCCATAAAATTCAACAAGTTTTCCCTTTCAGAAGATAACTTCTTGACATCTTCAAGTAAATTCCGGTTTTCACTCTTGAGCTCATTTATTAAGTCATCTGAGGTTGTCAGTTTTGCTTCCAACTGATTAGTCAATCTCTTCATTTCCAACTGCTTCTTTTCCAGTTCAGCTTCAATCTTCAGCGCTTGCTGTTTTGAGTGAGACAATGACTTTTCCTGCAATTCCAGTTTCTGCTGTATATCAGAAATCTCATCATCCATCTCTACAATCATCAACTTTTTCTCTTCAATTTCTAGCATGGCCAAAGTCTCAGCTGCAGAAATCTTCTCCCAGGCTTCAAGGAACAAATTAATCTCTGCCTGCTTTTCAGCAAGCTCTGAAGAAACAGAGTTTAATGAGCTATTAAATCTTTGTTCCAATGACCCCACGAGCTGCAAGAGGTCATCTATTTTCCGGTTTTTCTCTTCTACCATCTGGATAAGATTCACTTTTTCGTGTTCAAATGATTGTTCTGCACCTATTTGAGTAAGCAAGGCACATTCAAGTTCTCTTCTCAGGGATTCTTGCTCCAGCCTTCCAATCTCTCTCTGGAGATCCTCCAAGATCCTGTCCTTCTCCCTTGTAATTTGTAAAGAGCTTTGTTTCTCTGTCTTCAAGGACATAGTTGTTTCCACTCTTGCATTACTAGTGGCAGCCTCTAATTCTTCTGCTTTGAGCTCTAGTGACAAAACCTGCTCCTGCAAATTGCTTATTTTGCTGTCTTTCTCTTCTATTAGATGTAGAAGGTGACCATTCTCTTTTTTTATGGCCTCCCCAACCTCTACTTGTGCAAGAAGAGAAGCTTCTAATTCTTTACGCAACTCCTGACTTTCTTCAAGCTCAGCTTTTAGACGTTCAACAATAGACTTCCATATCCACAACTCAAATTCCATTTGGTGACCTTCACTGGTTTTCTCAATCAATTCAGAATTTGCTACATCTAAGGCATCACAAACTTCTGTAAGTTTACTTTTCGAGTCACTTTCCATCAGCAAAATTTTCTCTTCTAAGTGAAGCCGGCTCCTGGACGCTTCCTTTAACAGTTCCTTGTACCTCTCAAGTTCTTTCTGCATCTGCATACACTGCTCCTCAATGTGATCCAAGGACTCAACTCTCCTTGATAAGGATTCTACCTTCTCACGCTCTTCAACTAACCCTGAATTTGTTGTGTCTAGGGCATGAGAGATTTCTTTCATTTTCTCTTTTGAGTCACTTTCCATCTGCAAAGCTTGCTCTTTTAGGCGAAGTTGACCCCTGGATGATTCCTCCAGCATTTCTTTATACCTCTCTAGTTCCTTCTGCATAAAGAGATGCTGCTCTTCTATGAGATCCAAGGACTCAACCCTCCTTGATAAACATGCTGCTTTCTCATGTTTTTCTGCCAATTCAAGTCTTGCTTCATCTAAGGCATCAGAAACTGCTTTAAGTTTTTCCTTTGAGCCACTTTCAATCTGCAAAGCTTGTTCTTTCAACTGATTCTGGCACCTGGATGATTCCTCAAACATTTCTTTATACTTTTCAAGCTCTTTGTGCATTTGGAGTCGCTGCTCTTCAGTATGATTTAAGGACTCAACCACCTGTGATAAAGATGCTGCCTTCTCATGCTGTTTGGCCAACTTGAAGTTTGCTGTATCTAAGGCATCACAAACTTCTCTAAATTTCTCTTTGTAATCACTTTCCATCAGCAAAGCTTTCTCTTTCAAGTGATTTTGACGCCTGGATGATTCCTCAAGAACTTCCTTGTACCTATCAAGCTCTTTCTGCATTAGAAGCCCTTGCTCTTCAACAAGCTCAAAAGACTCAATCCTCCTTAACAGAGATGCTGTCTTCTCACGTTCTTCTGCAATCTCTATCTGGGCTTTAGCCAAATCTGCAGTCTTCATCTCCAGCTGCTTCATCAGTACAGAGACATCTTCACTCTCTTTGCTGTGGCAATCCCTTTCACCATCAACAAGTGCAAGCTTCAATGCAGCCTCAGATAGTCCTGCTTTCAACAGCAGTAGCATCACAGATAGCTCCTCATTCTGCATTTTCAACTGCAATGTTAAAGAGTAGCAGCTCTCAAGTTCCATCTTTTGCTCTTCTAGTGCTGCATCCTTTCTTTCTAACTCGGACCTATAGTCATTCAGCTTCAAATCCATTTTCTCCAGTTGGGATCTCCATTCAGCTTCTTTAGCTCTGAGATTTGCAGAACAGTCTCTGTGCATCTGCTCTACACTTCTGAGCTTGTTTCGCAATTTCGCAAGAGAAGAAGCACTTCCTGCTTTGTGAATCTGAGCTTCCTGGAGTTCTTTAAGAGATGTCAGCAGCTCTTGATTTTCTTGCTCTAGCTTGCCTGCTTGATATTTCATTTCCTTGTGAAACGTCTCCTTTGTGCTCAATGAATGTCTCAAAGCTGCAATTTCTCTGTCTCTCTGCTCAGTCAAGCATTCCAGTTGGGACTTTGCATCCTGGTATTCAGCAAAAGTGTTCTCATAGCGTGTTTTAAATTCGGAAACTTGAACTTCCAGGTACTTTCTGCGACTTTCTTCATTAGCAAGGGCTTGGTTGCACAGCTGTAACCGGTTCTGAAGATCTGCTGAGATTCTGGTCTGAGAATCTAAGTTGGTTTGCAGTGAACAGATCTCATCAAGTAGTTTAGACCTTTCCTGCTCCCACTCTTTTTTACTTGCCCTGAACTGATCATGAAGCTTTTCATGTGCTTCTTCAAGATGTTTGAACTGCTCCTTCTTCCACTTTAGCTGATTTTCAACCTTTCTATTTTCATCCTCTAATTTGAGCAAAACATCATCTCTTTCTCTTAGTTCTTTGGAAGCTTTTGCTTTTCTCTCTGCTTCCAAACACTTCTTCTGTGAAGTTGCCAAAAGCCCTTTGAGGCCTTCAATCTCTGCCTTAAATACATTAATCTTTTGCTCTTGATCAATGTTCTTCTCATTTGCCTCGTCTAAAGCCAATACTAGCCCTCTATTTTCTCCTTCCCATTTTCGGCATTTCTCATCACAGTCAACTCTAAGCTTATCATTAGCAGCACTAAGGCGTTTGATGATAGATTCTTTTTCAATCAAACTGCACTTAAGATCTCCAAACACTCTCTTGACCTCCGACACTTCCTCTTCCTTTTCATTTAATTCTTGAGCCTGCTTCTCAACTTTTTTACTTGCTTCATGAATCTTAACAAGCTTCTCATTATGAGATTTCTTCAAGTTCTCGCATAATTCTGCTCTGCTCTTACAATCTGCCCGTAGTTTCTCATTCTCAACTTTAACTTCCTCTAGTTCTTCATATATCCTTTCCATTTTCTTCCTCTCCAAAATTAAAATTTCAAAACTAAATACCTGTTTGTGAGAAAAACACAAGTTTAGATAACAAGCTGAAGTGAATAATAACAACAATATGACTCTGAAAGGCTACAACAATCAGATAATAAGTTGAAATCAAAGTTAAGGCAGAAACAAGACTTAAACCTGCAGATGGCGAAATAAGCTTCTAAAATACCATCCATAAATTCCTATAACATGCACGAATCCTTTATGCTTTTCAGTTTTTATTAACTCCCTCTTGACCTACCCTATGGTTCCCAAAGGGTAATACGAATAACCCAACAAAGATTAACCAATTAAAATACAATGCAAGTGTCACATGTTGGAAAAAACAAGATTCCATACTTAGAAATTTGAAGAAACATTGACTTCTCTTCTAATTATCTTCTGATAGTTGGCAAAATATGGGAAAATACACACATGATCTAAATTACGATAACTTGAGGGAAATAATGTCACAAATTTTTTCTCCATTGACAGAAATAAAGACTAGTACTTCAAACAATAAAAACATAAAAATCTTGGGTCATTAACATCACCAAAATGACAAACATTTAAGCATAACAAACCAATTATCTACCAAAACCAACATGAAATAACAAGAATATTTTGAACTACAAGATCTGAAAAACTAATCGCCAAAATCTTAACTTTATTTTCTTCTGTTGGATAAGAAATTTAGGATAATACAAAAACCAAAATTTTCAATATTTATCTTCACTTCATTCAAAGACTGAAGAATACCGCCCACATTCAACCAGGAGATGCAAGCAACATACAAATAATTCAAGATCGGCGAAGTAACATAAAATTTAAAAATAAAAATAAAATAAAAAACTAACAAGAACCCTTGAACATATCAAAGCCAAAGAAAAAGACTGTAAGCTAAATTCACATAACAAAAAATATACATAATAAAATGTTTGGTTTCTGAGAAAACAGAGGAAAAATTAAAGAATGAAGATGGCTATTATAAACAAATCACACCCTTTCTTTTTCCTTTTTGTTTCCTGCAGTTTCTCAGTAACCAAACACTACAATGAAAAGAAACTAAGAGAGACTCAAGTGAGTACCTGTTGTTGGGACTAAAAATTTTCCATGTGAGAAGATTTCTGCGGACGTGTTTTGAGTTTTGTGGCTTCGAATTCTTGTGTTGTTTGAAGAGTGAAAATGTAAGTGGTTGTGGAAAGAGCCGTTGAGAGGGCTTTTGGATTTAAAATTTGTGTGACGGAGGTTGACGGAGAAATAGGGTTGACATAACTGACGTTAATTTTGGATCTATAGTATCTTACACATCTTTTTTTTTATTTTAATAATGCTTTCAAAAGGTATTACTAGCCGTTGGAGGGGGAATTGGGCCGGACCGAGATTGATCTTTGAAATTTAAGCTCGAGTTTGGCGATGTTGGGCTGGGCTTTAGATTTTCAAGTTCATTAACGAAACTCATGGGCCCAACCTTAATTCGAATTAGAGTAATATTACACATACAATATGATGTTACAAAAGATGATTAGATAAAAGTTTATTTTTAATTTAAAATCAACCAATCATCCTTTGCCATATCATGTTATATGAGAAATATTGTATAAAAATATTGTATATGTAATATTATGCTTCGAATTAAGCCCTCCTGTGACAAAAGTAAAAAAGTTGAGGAAAGTGATTTATAGCCCCCATCAAATTGATAAGTATCCATACTTTTAAATATATTTTTTGTTTTGACAATTTTAACCTTAATAAAAATGATTTTTAATAATATAATAATTTTTAAATACACTTATACTCTATTTTGCATTTTTCTTTTAATTCTTAATCATAAACCCATACTCTAAAATCTAAATCTTCTAAACCATTTAATCAATTCTTTTTTTCAAATATTTTTTTTGTATGATGAAAATTTATCACTGAATTTATGGAGAAAATAATCACACAACAAGATAAAATTGAATCTAAAGAAGAAGAAAAAAAAGGTTTGAATTTGAAATTGGGAAAAAGGGATATTAAAAACACTAATTAAGAAATTAGGGAAACCCTAATTAAGTTTGAAATTGAAGAAAAGTTGTGTAAACAAAAACTCTAATTAAGTTGAAATTGGTGAAAGAGGTGTAAACAAAAACCCCAATTAAGAAGAGTTATTTCCAGTATTAAATGGGGTTTAAAGAGATTCTTTTTAAAATATAGTAGATGTGTATCCAGTAACGAGGGCTTCCGATCCATTTAGAGTGCGTTTGGTTTATTATTTTGGATAGGATTTTGGGGATAGTATTGGGTTGTTGGATAGGGGAGTATTACGAGGTAAATTTTAAAAATTTATGAAAAAGCCTTTAGGTTTACTAATTTAATTAAAGACCCTAATATGTAAAATGACAAAAACACCCCCGAAATTTTTCATGCCAGATTCCGGCCACCACCGCCGGAATCTGGCTGGAAAATTTCGTTACGGCACAGACCGGTCGGATCTGTGCCGTAACACGTCGTTATGGCCTTTTCCGGCCAGATCCACCATGGATCTTGCCAGAAAAGGCCAGATCTACTGTCTGTTATGGCCATCGACGACCGGAAAAGGCCAAACGATGGCCAAAGATGTGGCCGTTGTTTTCGGTCAACGACGGCCAGATCTGGCCTTTTCTGGCCAGATCCGTGGTGGATCTGGCCGGAAAAGGCCACATCAGTGAACTTCCGGCCATTTCTGGTCGGAAGTTAGGCCGTTGTACAGATTCCGGCTATCACCGACGGTGGTTGCCGGAATCTGACAAGTTGGGTTGATGAGGGTGTTTTTGTTAATTTTTAAACTTTTTTTAGGGGGTATTTAGTGAAATTAATAACCTTATGGGGTCTAAAAGTAATTAAAAAATAAGATAATATTTCTGGAATAATGTGCCAAACATTTTTTGGAGAATAGGATTCAGAATATGGATAAAAATACTAAGCTAAACATAGCCTTAACTGTGGCTAAAATTCAGTTTTCAAAAGTTTTTTTTTTTTTAAAAAAAAAAAAAAAGTAAAACCAATTTAATTATAAAAACCAAATTGTCTTCCTTTGTTTAAAACTATTTTATAAGAGTTGAGAGAGAGAGAGAGAGAGAGAGAGAGAGAGAGAGAGAGAGAGAAACTTGGGATTGGGGTGGTAACAAAAACCAAATACTGTCACTTCAGTTATTTATCTTACTATCATAAATTGTAAAATGAGGCCTTTTTGGCTAAAATTAGTTCAGGTCGAGGACCCCGATCCCCGATATTCACTCCCATGACCATCCTCAGCCAGTCTCCACTGGCAAGGATAACTCTCATGACCGTCCTTAGCCCGTGGGGATGGAATCACTCCCATCCCTGTCTAGTCCTGCCCTGATGAAGGGGCTTCGCAAGGAAATTCCCCCGTAGAGATTTTCCCCCAACATAATTAAATATATCTTAATCTAATCTTAACATAATTTATTATGTTAATTGATTAATTATTCAATTGTATAAAGGTTTAGGCTTAGTTAGCCTTGTTAATTAATTAATTTTTCATAAAATTAACATAACTAAATTCAATCTTAACATAATTTACTATTAATTGTATGAAGGTTTAGCTGGTTGGGCTTAATTAACCCTATTAATTAATGAATTTTTCATAAAATAAATATATTTATGTCTAATCTTAACATAATTTATTAGGTAAAATGGTTAATTTTTCAATTGTATGGAGGCTTAGACTTAGTTAGCCTTGTTAATCAATCAATTTTTCACAACATTAATATAACTAAATTCAATCTTAACAGTTAACATAATTTACTTGGTAAATTGATGAATTAATTCATAAAACACTATCTCCACTACAACTAATAAAATTAGTCCTTTGTGAAAGGGACAAATCTCATTATCCCAAGTTCCAATTGTAATAATCTAATCTAATTTATTTTAGGCCATGTAATATTATTTTGTGAAATTCACAAAGTAATAATGCATATATTTAATTATTAGACTTCGTCGTTTAAATTATTTTCTTTTATAAATTTAATATAAACATTAGAAAATATTATAAAAGTAAATATTCTAAATTTATATACATTATTTAAAACTATGATTTAAACTTTAACTTTTTATACAAACTCGCAAAGAAAAAATAAATAAAATTTTCAATAAAAGAAGGCAGGGCTCCTCGGGGGCGGAGTTGATGGGTCGGGGCGGGGATTGCATAATCCCCTCCTCCGGCCCATCCCCGGAAATGGGGATTTTTTTTAGGACCATCCCCGGTCCTATCCTCGATATTTCTAAGGATTCCCTATCCCATTCAGGTCGGATCCTCACGAAACCAGGGCAAACATCCATCCCTATGTGGTCATGGGCTGAGTTGAAAAGAAAGTTATTTATGTGATGGATTGAAATATATTTAAAATGGTTAGACATTAATGTATAATTATTCATAAATTGCGGTCAAGTGGTTTGAAGGGTGGAAAGACGAAGTATAAAAATAACTTTCTTTTATAATAACTGAGTCGTAACAAAGGACAAAAACTGTCACTATTTTAACTCAACCACCACCTAATTGATTTTATTTATAAATTGGGCGTAGAAAGACTTAAATAAGTTAAAATGAATGTTGTCATAAAGGGAAGATTTCGTTGTGTATTCACATTCGGTAATGTCATCGCACAATGAAATCATGACAACATATATGAAACATCACAATATGAAGGAGGATTTTAAAGGGCTGGCCTTGTCCTTATGAGTGCTTCTCATACTTATTCACACTGTCTCACTCTGTCACCATGTCAATATAATTACCAATCTTTATTTGTTTCATCAAATTCTGACTCGGACTCCCCTCTTTTTCACACTTGACACTTTCCAGCTTATTAAACATTGGTGTTTCTCTTTCAGACCGAACCTCATCAATAATCAGGTTGGATTTATCTAGATTGGTGTTAGAACTCGAACTCAATGGAGAGTTCAACCCAAAAGACCAGCTTGATAGGTGGGAGAGCTCATAGACTTAAGTACCACACTTGGTGGGTGTGAGATTCAGATGTGGGATCCTAACAATTGGTCTCATATTTAAGTTTGTGATTTGTTCTTACAAAGTCTGAGATTTGAATTCCATTATCGATACTTGTATGATCAATAAAGTCATATTTAACAGCTTAATAAGGTTTGTCAAGCACCCCAATTTTAAACTCGAGATCACAAAGCAAATGCCGAAGATTTATAAATTATCGTAGTAATCGAATCTTATTTAGTTATAACTATCTCTGAGTAGTTGAGTGATTTGATAGAAACTTTTAGGTGTATTATTCAAGAAGTCTTAAGTTTATGTTTTTTCTTGGGTGCTAATAGACGTAACTACTTAAACTTTTACCTGATCGATAATTTTAGGATCTCGATGGATTAATTGAGTTGAGATACGTATAAACTAATCCAAATATCCTCTGTTATATATATATGGTTATGGCCTTATGTGTTGTATTCCTTATACATCCACCCATGTTGTTCTTTGTTTTTGCAAGGCCAGGAGGTTTCTAGATTATCAAAACAATCGGGTCAAATTTGATAACGAGTTTTATACCTTATACATCCACCCATGTTGCTGTTTTCCGTCTTTCACGAAAAGCTAAAGGAATCGTAGCTCTTTTATTTAATAAAAAAGTTGTTCATTGATTCGTTCTATGTGTAATTATCTGAATAAGACTAGTTCATTTTTGAAACGATTAAGATAAACGAATAAAATAGTTTTTATTTTTAAATTTTAATATAAAGTTTTAAATTATTTATATCAATATGATTTTCATCATAAAAAGATATTCACCTACAAAGTCAATTTTGCACTTCTTGGTTTCCCTCAACAATAGGAATAAATAAAAGAGAGTTAAAAACATGAAAAAATTATCAAGAAAACATTCGCCGTTTTCACATTAAATAAAAACAAAAGTGTGTATGTAATCAAAGGAGTGAAATTAAATAATTTAATTAACCTAAGTCTCAACCGGCCAAAGTAAGCATATGTCACATTCATTTTTGTCGGATTAATTGGGAAAATTTTATGAAATTAATCTTACTGGTTAGACGGCTAATTAATTTATATGTATATACTTGATTTAGTTAAGCACTTTCCGGATTCTCTCTGAAAATTAATAGTAGAAAAACCAAATTAT